GAGATTCAAGACCCGCTATGGTGAGGGAGGGACTGCAACAGGGGCAGGCACTGTCCAACCAGGGCAGTCAATACAACCCCAGGAGCAGGATGGAGCCATGGGCAGCTCCCCACTGCTGCACACACCTCCAGGGGAGGTATGTGGGGGGTATGTGCCCCCTGGATTTGGGCACAGGGCAAAGGTGGACTGCCTGCTGTGGGTTCAGGGCCAGGGGCAGCACTGCACCAGGTTCTTCCTGGTTGTGGAAGCTTGGCTGGGCAGCAGCAGTACTGAGCAGGGTGGCCATAGCCCTCCCCACCTGCTGCCAGACAGTAAGGGGGCACGCAGCTGGCACAGGGCTCCCAAGGGAAAGGTAGCAGAGTGGAGTGCCCTAAGCAAGGGTGCTGTTTGGGGGGGGAGGGGAGGGAAGCAATAGCCACCCCAAAATTCCCCATAGTCACCCCTCGCAGCGCTGCCACAGCCCACCCTACGCAGCTGAGCCCGCCCTGTCCTGACTGCTGCCCCAGCCCAGACCCCCTCCCCCCGGGAATAGGTTGATGCAGCCCCTGGCCCCAAGCAGGAAGCCCACCCTTGCCCCACACACAAATCCAGAGGGGCAAATGCTCCGCATGCCTTCCTCTGGGGTGCGTGCAGCAGCAGAGAGCCACCACTTCCTTTACTGCCCCACCCCCCAGTGCCCTGGACAAGCCGCCTGCAGCTCCATCACACTCCCGGCCCCAGGGTCACATTCGCCAACCTGGCTGGGCAGTGACTACCCCTGCCCCACTCCCTCTTTCACTGTGGGGAACCTCCATCTGTCCCTTCCCCACTACCCCCCATACCAGCTGGACGCTGCTCTCCAAGCTGCCAGGCTGCATTCCTGACTGCATGCATGCTGCATTTATCGGTGACAGCATCAGCCAAAAAAAAAAAAAAAGCAGACTGCTGATAATGTTAGTTTTCCTGTTATCAGTGCCAATTCGATATGTGACCGATATATAATCAATGCACCTCTATCTAGATGGACTGAGGGAGTTGCAAGGACACAAACAAATTTCAGTCTGTTGGAAAAATCAGTTTACATTATTGATATCTATGCCCAAGTGTCCATAGCTTTTCATCAGGAAAAGCTAGGGAGCAGAAAAAACAAACAAACGGGAGAAGAAATAACCAAGCAAACAAACGAAAACAGAACTGCCAGGCCTGATGGGAGAAGCTTTATACAACTTGACAGTTTGGACCAAAGAAAGAATGCTACATGCAAGAAATTTAAAAAGTGGAGCATCAGGAGCATAAAAGTTTATTGCACACTGAATTCTACAACACAAGTACTGTTACACACTAGGGCTGTGTGAAGCTTCAGGTGCCAATTCAATTCGGAGGAGATTCGGCGGCTGAATCTCTGAATCAGAAGACAAATAAAATGTCCGAATCGATTTGGAAAAACTTTGGAGAGCTTTGGAAATTCAGGCAGTCCCCACTCGCTGCTACAGGGAGCCGGACCTGGACTCCATGATGATAAGTAGGGGGTGGACCTGGAGGAGGGGGAAGGGGACCATGGGGGGGACCCCCCACCAGGCCCCATTCTCTGCCTGCTCCCGCAGCCCCCCTG